AGGAGGAGGAGGAGGAGGAGTCAGGAACAGGGCCAGAGACCCGACCACACTTGTGACTCACAAATACCCCTGTCCCCAGAAGGGCCAGCTGCCTGGATAGCCACGGCGGGGTCCATGCACCCAAGTCACAAGAGGACCAGGTGGGAGAGCTCACGTCACAGCTGTCCCGAAGCCTTCCCGCAGGCTTGTGAGCAGTCAGGACCCCGCTCTCACCATCCGGCCGAGGTTGTCCTCCTGCCGTGACAGAGGCGGTGTCATAGAGGGAGGTGCTGCTACAGATGGTGTGGCTGTGCCGTCCTATCTCCCTATGACTCAGTTTCCATATCAATGAAAGGGGAACATGAATCCCGTTCTCCCCCCAGACACCCCAGGACCTGCCTGGAAGATCCTGACCTCTCAGCCCATTCTGCTGGGCACGGTGCGGTCACGACACAAGTGTCCCCTTAGGGAGGGCGTCCATCCTGGCGGCAGCACCGCCCACAAGGGCCAGAGGGGACACGGACGGAACAGCCTCAGAAGTCTCAAGACTGTGCCACCGCAGTATGCCAACGAGGGGGGGAGCAGGAGCCTTGAGCGCAGGGGGTCGTAGCAGGGGCACGAGCGGAAGGGACAGAGAGGGGCTGAGTCCTGGCGGGCACATCTGGACACAATCACCCGATGCCTTGACCTCCGTCGAGCCCAGGCGGCGCGGGATGGAGGAGGGGAGGGCAACACGTGGGGCTGAGGCGCCCTGGCGTGTCCGCCGTCTCCTGGGCTGTGGCCCTGGGCAGAGAGGCCGCTGTCAGCCGAGGCCCCGCTCCTCGGGGTTCATGGAACTGATTAGGGCCCCCCGCGCCTCCCCCTCCACTAATGGCTTTTGTGCAGACAGCACACAACGGGTTAAAAGCCTGTTTATGTTGGCGTGTGGCTGGGCCTTCCAGCATCCAGGGCAGCGGCGGGAGCCGTGGCGCCACGGCGGCCGTGCGGTCGGTGGGAGCGCCCTCCCGGGCCAGCCTGCTGTGACGGCCTCTATTACTCAGCCATAAAAGCTCGCTTTGGGCTGAAACTTGACGTGGGGCTCGCAGACCAGGGAACGTGTTGTTAAGAACCACTCTGGCCTTGTTTGGACTTGAGTGAAGAAGGAAAAAAGATGGAAGGAAGGACATCATGTTCTCTGGCCCGGGGCCTTGGGGCTCCTGATAACAGTCCCCAACACCAAGGAGGCCGGCCCTTCCGGGAGATCACACGTTTTCAGCCTGGTTTGGTTTTCTTGAGAAAGAAAAGGGCAGGTACATTAGAACTGGGGTAAAAATGCCAGGAATTGTCGGGGGCTTCCAGGGGCTGCCTCCAACCTCCCAAGGAAAGCCTGTTTTGTTCCCAGCCTGGAGCTCCTCTGTCCGGTTCCAGGAAAGAGCCCTGAGGGTGGCCTGGGGCCGGGGCACGAGGGAGGAAAGCAGCCTTAAAGGCAACCTGGCATTGCTCATGGAGCAGAGTTTCTTTCTGAGGTCTGAATGGTGATGGAGTCTTTTTCAGCGATCTGAGATCAAACTTTATACAGTCAAAAGAAAGGTCTATTTCGGAATCAATGCCTTCCTAAAGACGGGTCCTTGCTTTGTTGTTTTTTCCTCGCTAAAACCAGGCTTTAAGAACTATCACAATGCCCCTTGTCCCTGGGGAAGCCACTGGTAAATAGGTTGGACATTTGAACATTTTTATAGAAGGAACCCTGAGCGCTGAGGTCCCATCTCTCTGTCTCTCTGTTTCTGGCTCTGTCTCTCTCTCCCTCTGCTCTCTGCTGTCTCTCCCCCCTCCTCTTTATCTTTCTGTCCTCTCTGTCTGTCTCTATCTCTCTCTCTCTCTCCCCCTTTCCTCTTTATCTCTCCTTTCTCTCTCCCTCTTTGTCTCTCCCTATTTGTCTCTCTTTATCTCTCTGTCTCTGACTTTCTCTCTTCTCTTTCTGTTTCTCTCTCTATCTCTCTCCCTGTCTCCCGCTGTCTCTCTGTCTCTGTCTCTCCACCCTCCTCTTTATCTTTCTCTCCTCTCTGTCTCTGTCTCTCTGTCTCTGTCTCTCTGTCTCTGTCTCTCTCTGTCTCCCTCTCTTCTTTATCTCTCTCTGTCTCCTATCTCTCACTCTCCCTCTTTGTCTCTCCCTTTTTGTCTCTCTCTTTGTTTATCTCTGTCTCTCACTCTCTGTCTCTTCTCTTTCTGTTTCTCTCTCCTGTCTCTGTGTCTCTCTCCCTCTCTCTTCCTCTGTCTCTCTGTCTCTATCTCTCCCTCCTTTTGTCTCTCTGTTTCTCTCTCTGTCTCCTCCTCCCTCCATCTCTGTGTCTCTTCTCTGTCTCTGTCTCACTTTCTCTCTGGCAGCTTCAGTGGCACTCCCAGAGCAGAAGCAGAGAGGAGAGTCCCAGCTTTCACAAGACACGCTGAGCTGGGCACACAATTGAGTTTCTGTCTGTGTCAGCCCCAAGTCTATGTTGTTCTCACCCTTCAGACCCAGGCTGGAGGGTTCGGCCGAAAACCCGGAGGAACAGCGAGAGTGCTCTGGTCCCACTTGTGCCGGCCAAGTGGAGCTGGGAGGTTAAAGTCTATTCATTTGAAAACTGGAGCTGCCATCCTGCCACGTGGGAGCCATCCACTCTGGCTGGGCTTTTCACGAAGGACCCTTTTCAAACAAAGCTCGCTTTAGGGCCAGATGGAAGGGTTAATAGTTAGTGGACTCAGCAGTGCCGCCCTTGAGGGCTGCCAATGAAAATGGCAGCTGACTCCACTAGGGACAAGAATCAGGTGTGAAAAGCGCCTCCTCTCTCCCGTCCAAACTGTTCCATGGAAGCCATTTCAGGATAAGTGAAAACAAGAAAGTGCCCAGGGTGGATGGGGGGAGGTGGGGCTGGGGCACATGGTGGGTTCACGCTCCAGACTGCAGCAAAAGACCTCTGCAGATTCTGGTGAGGACTGGCTCAGCACACCTGGGATTGGGGCAGTGCTGGGCCTCGGTGAGTCGTCAAGGCTCTTTGCTCTACTGCCCTGGCCTTCTGTGCTATCCATCCCAAAGCTGGGGGGGGGGGAGTGGCTGTGGGGCTTAGACATCTCCCTTATAGGGGCAGCCAGGTGGCGCAGTGGATAGAGCACCGGCCCTGAAGTCAGGAGGACCTGAGTTCAAATCCAGCCTCAGACCAACACTTGACCACTAGCTGTGTGACCCTGGGCAAGTCACTTAACCCCAATTGCCTAAAAACTAAAAAAAAAAAAAGATATCTCCCTTATGTCACGACATCACTTGTCTATTTGAGAGAGAGAGAGAGAGAAAGAGAGAGAACATCTCCAAGCTGATTGTTGCTCCTGACTTTAAAAAGCCAGACCATCTGGAGAGAGCAGAGTGGCCCACTCAGACCCCTGGATCCCCTCAGACATCAAAGCGTCAGCAGAAAGGCGGCCTTTGTTTCTCTTCCAATCAGCCTAATTCTGAGTCAAGCACGGCATCTTCAGCTCGGGCTCTGAAGAGGCTCCCGCCTTCCCGAGATGAACTTGGCCCCTGCGCCCCGACTTTGATCAGCGATTTCTATTTCTCTTGGAGGGAGAAGGAGGCATGTGTCTCTTGAAAGCTAAGATCAAAGTGACAGTAAGCGGCCAGGCAGGAGCAAAATTACAGGAAATTACCCAGAACCTCCTTTTGATTCGAGGTAATGGGCCTACAGGGAAGGGTCCCTGATAAACAGCCGCAGCTCTCCATGGGAAGGACAGTGCAAAAAGACCGCTGGGCTCTGCCCCCGGGCAGCCGCCAGGCCCGGAGCTGGGGGCAGAGCAGCCCCAGAAGCCAACAGAGTCCCCTCCACCCGACCGCCTCCTCCGGCCCCGCTCACTGTGTGTGGCCACCGTGCCCCGTGGATGTGTGGTCACCACGCGTGTGTCTGCCCAGAGTGCCTGATGGCGGAGCCGAGCATTGGCAGCACCCCGTCCCCTCTGCCACCTGCCGGCATCTCCATGGAATAAGGAAACCAGGTCCCTACCCCCACCCCCAACTCCGGCCATCAGGCAGGGGCTGCCAGCTCCAGGCCCGCTAGAGAATCCATCCTCCTCCTCCTGGGATGCAGAAGCTCATGAGTGTTCCCAGACACCGAGGGCGTAGGACCAGAGCACTCTGGAGCCCCTGCAGACAGATGCTGTAGAAAAGAGAGCTAGGTCTGGAAAAGAAGGCCGGGATTCCATGCCCAGCTGTACCAAGCTGTGTTCTTCCTCATCTTCTCCTCCACCTAAGGGTGGTGCAGTGGATAGAGCACCGGGCCTGGAGTCAGGAAGACCTGAGTTCAAATTCAGCCTCAGACATTTACTAGCTTGTGTGACCCTGGCCAAGTCACTTTGTGCTCTTGGCCTCAGTTTCCTCATCTGTAAAATGAGGTGGAGAAGGAAAACTGCCCCAGTATCTCCGCCAAGAAAATCCCAAGTTGAGTCCTAAAGAGTCAGACACAGCTGAACAGGTGTGCAGGTGTGCAAAGTACTTTACACGTATCATCTCACTAGAGCCCCACAACAGCTCAGGGAGGTAAAATAAATACTGTTGTTGGCCCCCTTTCACAGACAGGAAGACTGAGGCTCTGAGCTCCAGTCACCCGATGTGGGTCAGGCAAGCTACCAAGTATCTGAGGCAGGATGAGCTTGGGTCTGCCCAATTCCAGTTCCAGCATTCAGACCCAGTGCCGCCTAGCTGTGCATCTTTGGTCCCGAAGGCAGGAGGCTTGTTTCATGGCAGGGAAGGGTCTTCCAGGTGTGGCCAGAGATTACCTGGAGTGTTGGGGCAGGTGGGTGGGGACGTGGGAGCGAGAAGAGGAAGGGGCGAGAAGTCAGCCCTGCTCCCCGGAACGATCCCGAGGGAATACCTGCTTCCCCGTCCCCAGGCGCTCCATCGCCACAGATGAGCAGGTACTCTGCCCAGAGGAGCAGGCACCCGTCGGACCCAGCAGGTAGCTCCATCCTCAGCTCCCGGCTCGCTCACCCCCACAGCCGGGCTGGCAACACCTCTCCTCTGAGCCTGCCCCTGCCTGGTGGGGCCCTGGACCGCTGCCAAGCTGCTGGGCAGTCTGCTTGCCTCACCCATCCTCCTTTCAGCCCCCAGCTTGACCTCCCTGAAGCCCAGGTCCGGCCTCGGCACCCCCTCCTCGGTATACTCCAAAGGCTCCCTATGGCCCCCAGCATCAACCATGAAAACTTCTGTCAGATTTTAAAGCCTCGTCCCCAGCCACCACCTCCCATGTAGTCTGCGACCCAGTGACAATCCTTGACCAAAACATCCCATCTCTGGAATCCTGGGCGCTGTCCCTGACCGTCGATGCTGGGAATGCTATCCCTGCGGATCTCACCATCATTCAGGCCTCCACCGACATCCTGCTCCTGCGGGCAGCCACTTGTTGCCCCCTCCATGCCAGTGCCTTCCCTGCAAGGTGGTCTCCAGAGGGCCCGGATGCGCGGTCTCCCCCATCAGACTGTGGGATCTTTTAGGGCACGGCCGTTTCTGCCTCTCTTTGTCTCCCCAGCACTTAGCACAATGACGGGCACTAGGCAGGCCTTCAGAAAGCCTTGCCGCCCGAAGGGCCCTCCAGGAGACGTCCCCTCCCCACCCTTCCCTCTACTCCCTACTCTGGCTTATGCTGAGGGAAGCTCTGAGGCGCCCCGCCCCACCTCAGAAAGGAGAGATCAAAGGCCCGGGCCTAGTGGCTTCCAGATCTGGGCAACGCGATGGGAACTGGATCCGTGCTGGTCCAGTGTGGTTCGATGGGATGAGGGGAGGGGGGAGTTGTCAGGACTTGGCCAGCACAAAGCGCAGACAGCCAGTCTGACCCTGAGCACGCTGGAGTGCGATGAGAAGGCCCCCATTCAGCTGCCCAGCAGACATCTTCGGCAGGGCGCACTGCCAAAGGAAACGGAAAGTGCCTCCAGGAGGGAAGAGGCACTGGAGCGCGGGGGTCACGGCTGCACCCCGCCCGGCCACGGAAGCCTGCGAAGTCAAAAGAGAAGAAGAGGAAGAGGAGCGCTTCCCGGGGGCTTCTTGGGATGGCCTGAGCCTTGGAGTCTTTGGATGCCTTGGAGGGGGCCTCCCTCTCCTAGGGTGGAGCCCCCACATCTGCACCTTCTCCTCATGGCTTGCCTACTCTCTCCCAGGCCCGGGGTGCTTCTACATGCCCGCCCCACTTCCTTCTCAGACCTAGGAGAAGTGTCTCCTACGCCCCTGACCTGAAGGCTTCCCTAGTGATGCCGCAGCCCAACGTCACATGCACATGGCAGCATCTGGGGGGCCTTGCCATCGCTGGGCAATCCCTATTCCATGTGGATTTTGGGCAGAAATCCATCCATGTTGGTGGCCCCCCTTTGGGAGTATCTCTTTTTCTGATGCCTCGTGAAGCCAGTGAGCAGAGAGTTTCCCAGAACATTAGCTCTGTGACTGCGTCATCCAAGGACCCTCTTGTGATTGTACCATGAGGACAATAAGATGCTTTCTTCTTGCTGGGGAAAGACGTGAAGGCCACACTTTGTTCTGCATTTTCAAAGTTAGAGGATTATTCACTGTTGCTGTGTCTGACTCTCCGTGACCCCATCTGGGGTTTTCTTGGCAAAGATACTGGAGTGGCTGGCCATTTCCTTCTCCAGCTCATCTTACAGATGAGGAAACTCAGGCAAATAGGGTTGCCCAGGGTCACCCAGCTAGGAAGTGTCTGCGGTCAGATTTGAACTCAGGAAGATGTCTTCCTGACTCCATGCCCAGTACTCTGTGCACTATGGCGCCTCTGGCTGCCCCCTGTGACCTACAGCCCCACTAAGCCCTACAGACTTTTTCTCTTCAGGGTCCTCGCACTGAGAGCTCTGGTCTGTGAGCAGGTGGGAAGCGGTCAGAGGCCCGGCCCCCGTGGAGCCGTCTAGCCACGGTGTCCCCAGCCTATGCGCGCTGCCTTGGCTGAGTGTGCCGGTCAACACCGGGGTCCAGCACCGGCACCTCTTTCTCACCCCTCTCTCTGTCCCTTCTGTGCTCCCCAGCCCCTCCCAGGGAGCTGACGGAGGAAGAAAAACAGCAGATCCTCCACTCGGAGGAGTTCCTCATCTTCTTCGACCGGACCATTCGGGTCATCGAGCGCGCCTTGGCCGAGGACTCCGACATCTTCTTCGACTACAGCGGCCGGGAGCTGGAGGAGAAGGACGGGTCAGTGGCGGCCGCCCCAGGGCTGGTTTCCCAGAGCTCCCAGAGCACAGGGCAGCCACCACGGGAAGGCCAGACGTAGGGCCGCCCGGGCTGCTGGGGAATGCTTTTGAGCTGATGGGCGGGTGTGTCTGTCTTCCTCCTGGGGCTCCCCAAAAGGGCACTGAGGGAGCTATTCCTGACCTTTGTGGCCCCTGGGACAAAGCTTAGGAAGACAGGCTGGGGCTCGCCCCAACCCGGCCTGGACTAGTTGGGTAGTTATAGGCAAGCCCCTGAAAACCTAGGGCCCACACGACTCTCCAAGACGTGAAGGTGGAGATGCGCGCTCATCTGCAGCTGGGGAGAGCATTTCCACACTGGGTTTTCCTTTCACTGAGGCCCCCCAGGTGCAGACTAACAATAATAACTGATGAGCCGGTGGGAAGCGCCTGCTAGGGAGAGGAAAGGCCACCACAGAGCCAGAGGCAAGACATAAATTACCCTGAGAAGTGGTCTTGAGGTCAGATCCCAAAGAGAACAGCCAGTGTGGCTCCCCAGAGGCCTCCAGGGGCCTGACAGCGGAGTTGGGAGGGCTCCCTCCTCTCGCCATGCCCCGGGGGCAAGTCTCTGAACCTCTTAGAGCCTCAGTTTCTCTAGCTGTCAAGGGAGAAAGTGGCCTAAGTGACCTTTGCCCCCTGGAACATCGGGTCTTTGCTCCCACCTCCTTGGGAACAGCTGCTCCTTAGCATCTCCTCTAAAGGCCCGGGGCAGAGGCCCAGGCTTGGTTCTTGGCCAATTTGCATTGGCCGACCACTTTCCCTGCTGGCTGTTGCTGCCTGGACAACCATAGGGTTCTTCTGTCTAGGCACTCAATGCTGTGCCAGGTATATGGTGCTGGGAGTGTGGTGCCATCCCTGGCGTGTGGCACTGGGTACACCATGCCAGGGGTGCCACACAAGTTTACAGGTTATGGGGCTGGCAGTGCCAAGCTGAGCAACAGCTCAGTGATGACCCTTCTGATCTTCTCCACCACAGGGATGTCCAAGCTGGGGCAAACCTTTCCTTCAATCGCCAGTTCTATGATGAGCATTGGTCAAAGCACCGGGTGGTCACCTGTATGGACTGGTCTCTCCAGGTAAGAATAATTGCTGGGCAGGGTCTGACTGGGTGGGTGCTGAAGAGCAGTGTCTGGGGTTCCCCCAACTCCAAGGCCACACTTTGGTGAGGCAGTTCTGTGCCCCACACCTGGACTGAGGACAGTGTCCCCAGAGACCTTGGTGCTTTTATGGTTCCATAGTCATTATTCCAGATAAATCTCCACATGCTGCAGAGAGCCTACTTTTCTGGCATATTTTAGTGGACACATGTAAAAAGTCATATTGAGAAGTGTCCCTCATTTACCTATGAATGGGGCACCCTGGGCAGCTGCCTGCCTGACCTACCTCTTGTCCTGGGCTTTGGGCGAGGATGGGAGAGGTGCCCAGGAGTCCAGGAGGGTGCCAGCCTGCCAGGAGGCAGTTCAAGATGGGAAAGAAAATGTCCTAGAAAGGAGAGGACACCAAAACTTGTACCTGAGTGGGGACCTGTGCCTGCTGCCTGCAGACCTTAAGGATGTCCTGAGTGTGTGTGTGTGCGCGTATGCGTGTGCACATATGTACATGTGTGCATGTGTGTATGTATGCGTATATATATATATACATGTGCACAGGTGTGTGTGTGTGTGTGCATGTGCGTGCACCCCTGCGCATGTGCATCCATGAGTGTGTGTGTGTGTTCCTGAACACACATCATTCTGCACATGCCTTGTGTGTGCTGACCTGTGTGCACCTGTCCTTCCCCAGCAGAAGGTGAAGCCCTCCGAGGACTTTGCTCACTGCCTTTGTCTCTCTGGGATCCAGCATAGAGCCTGGGCACTCGGGGTGCTTCCTTTGCATTTGTTGAACCACGTAGGGTTATCCCTGAGTTAGGGGCTAGACCAGGTCCCTGATCCCCCTTCAGACCCTTCCTGGAGGGAAGTGAGTTCAGTTCTGGGCCTCTGGAGGCTCAGGGTATCCTTTGTTTTGCTGGGAGTTGTGGCTTAAAGCAAAGGTTTTTAACCCAACTTTGGGGGAGAATTTTGAAAAGGAAGTGAGGGGACCCTAGTGGGAAGGCCTGGGTCTCAGCCTGGCCCCTCTGGAGCTGGGTGACCGCCTCGCTCTCATTCTGCCTCCGCTACGCAAACTGTGTCTGCCTCTCTCCGGCTGTGGGTTTCAGTGAGGTCTTCGAACATCCATGACATCCACAACAGGCTTTTCCCCTCTCCTGCGGTTTGCTTTCGATGCCTCAGCCAGCCATGGCGGAGACTGCCAGCAGAGCTGGGCCCTGGGCTCCAAAATGAACTTACTGAGGTCTAAGGACCAGCTTGGCTGTTAGGAGAGGTGTGCTGGGGGCAGCTAGGTGGTGCAGTGGATAGAGCACTGGCCCTGGAGTCAGGAGGACCTGAGTTCAAATCCAGCCTCAGACACACAACGCTCACTAGCTGTGTGACTCTGGGCATGTTGCTTAACCCCAATTGTCTCACTGAAAAAAAAAGAGAGGTGTGCTGTGTTAGCAGGCTGAGCACAGGCCTATGGGCACAGGCACCTCTGGGGCCACACCTGCTGGGTTCTAGTCTGCCCTTAGGACTTACCTACTACGTCATACAGACAGGCTGTGATTGACCTTGGTAGGGAGACCTCCTGCCTGCACACATGACCTCACAGATCCTTATTCATGCAGTAATAGCTATCGTCCCCCCCACTCCAGAATCTGCTGTGGCTCCCTATCGCCCTCGGGATCAAATACAGAATACTCTATTTGGCATTCACCCTTCGTAATCTAGCCTTGTCTTGCCTTTCCAGCCTTGTCACTCCCCAACAGTGGACGCTGGCCTCTTGGCCACTGCATGAACAACCCTCCATCTCTCAGTTCCAGGCATTTGCACTGGCTGTACCCCGTGCCTGGAATGTTCTCCCTCTGCACCTCCTGGCTTTTTCAAGTCCCATCTTCTGCAGGGAGCCTTTCCCAGTCCCTCCTTATTCCAGTGCTTTTCCTCGGTTGATGATTTCCAAATTATCCTTTCCATAGCTTCTGTGTGCCTGATTTGCTTGCCTTCTCCTCCCAACAGACAGCGAGCTCCTTGAGAGCGGGGACTGTTTTTACATGTAGCACAGAGCCTGGCACACAGTAGGTGCTTAATAAATGTATATTGCCTGACTGACATTTGTAGAGCCAGGCATAGGGAGAAGCCGGGGCAAATTCCCAAAGCTGAGAGGAGTGCTGTGGGTGAGGAACAGGAAGGACGTCAGTGTCCCTGGATCGCAGGGTCTGTGGGGCGGGAGTGGGGACGGCTTGTCAGACAGGAGAGGTAGAAAGGGTTCATTTGTGTTTGATCCTGGAGGTGATGGGGAGAGATGGGAGCACGCTGGCAGGTAGAGAGTAATTGCTGGGCTGGGGCCAGCATCGTTAACCCAATTATTGCCCTTATCCTCTTCTTTGCCAGGTGAGGGGATGGCCAGAGCCGTGGAGCAGATATCTCTGCCCGATGGTGGCTTGTGCCCAGACCAGAGGACTTTTGAAGGGTTATGGGGGGGTGGGACACAGCTGGCCTCGTCTTTCGCAGCGAGTCCTGCCTTCGGCCCAGAGGCGTGAGTGCGGCCCACAGCCCCCATATGCCTGCTGCCCCTGGCTAGAACTGAGGCTCAGAGGAGCGGCTCCACCCTGCGTCTGACCGCCTGAGTCCTGTGCTTACGGGATGTTGGAGGATTCTGGGCCTCCCTGGCTAATTGTTCGGGTGTGGTCTCTCCTATCCAGTACCCAGAGCTGATGGTGGCATCTTACAACAGCAATGAGGACGCGCCCCACGAGCCTGATGGAGTGGCCTTGGTCTGGAACATGAAATTCAAAAAGACCACACCTGAATACGTCTTCCACTGCCAGGTAGGAGGCAGGGTCTCAGAGCATCTCAGGGCTCTGCCCACCAGACTAGCCCCAGCCAGGGCTGCACTGGGGGAAGGGGGGTGAACAGCAAAGTCGTGGGTAGGGTGAGCACAGCTCCAGGTGGTGACTGTGTCTAGGGAAGCCTACCTGTCCTTCCTTGCCCCTCTTCTCTCCTCCCCCGCCTCCCCTGCCTGAGGAATGCAGGTCATTTTTTTGGTCTGTTTACCAGGATCTGTTTCTTTTTGTTTGTTTGTTTTTGGTGAGACAATTGGGGTTAAGTGACTTGCCCAGGGTCATACAGCCAGTGAATATCATGTGTCTGGGGCCGCATTTTAACTGACTCCAGGGCCAGTGCTCTATCCACTGCACCACCTAGCTGCCCCAAGAATCTGTTTCTAAGACATTTCACTCATGAAAAAGCAGCAGTGGCCTGCTTCCTCTGACTGATCACAGCGCAAGCTGACTCACCCAGGTGGCCAGCCACTCCTGCATCCCATCCTGTGCCCATTGCCAGGCTTACAGGCCGACAGTTCACTCTCCAGCCTGAGACATGGTCAGAGGAAAAGGTTAGTGTTCAAGGCCACTGCTTCAAGTGGTCCTGGGTTGCTTCATTGTCATCAACTCCAGTGTTCTTGGGTGGTCAGCAGGAGCTCTGAGGGGGCTTCCCCTCTTGCTCAGGGGCTTCCGTGACCAGCCCCTTCCCTGAGCTCCCCATGGAATTCCTTCCTTTTCCCCCTTGACCCAGAGTAGGTTTGAATGGTCAGATAGCCAGACACAGCCAGCATGGATGTTTCCATCTGCCTGCTGAGGGTGCAGACCCTTCCCCCAACTCTGTCCTGGAGTCCTTCTCAGGATCATGGCAGGGACATGCCCTGGGCTGTCTCTGGCCCACAGGCTTGGCGCCTCCAATGCCAGATGCCAGAGGGGGTGGGAGATGGATTGTACGGGGGCGTCAGAATGTACCTGGAAGGGGGGACGTGTAGACCTGCTTCGATCCTGAAGTTTTGTGTTGTTTAAACCTCAGGGCCTCACCCGGGATGGGAGGCAGTGTGTGTTTACACTTGGGTTCATTATCGGATGGAGCCGTGACTGGGGCTCAGACCATGTTGTTCTAATTTTCCCAGGTCTGCATCATGCTAACCAGCCTTTCTTGGGGGACCCTTTGAAATAGGAACATTTTATTTTGTTCAGAGTATCAAATTTGGCTCTTTCTGTGCGTGTCAGCCTGGAGTCCTAATGATGTGCAGACTGGTCAGAGGCTCACAGAATGTGGAGGAAACATGAAACAAGTCGGGGTGTGGGGTGCGAGGAAAGCTTCTGGACTGACTTTGGAGCAGGATCAGTCAGGCATGGGGAGGGCCCCTCCTGCTGAGGAGGGGGGCGCACGCAAACCTCTGTGTTCCCAGGCGGTGTGGGTCAGTGCAGACCAGACTGGCTGAACAGATTGTGGTCATCCCCGGTCTGGGAAGAGCCGCTGTCCCCCCAGGGCAGGCCGTGTGCCAAGGAGGGCAGCTCAGTGTCCTGATGTTCTCTCTCATCGGCCTCTGGGAGATGCACTGGGGCCCCGGGCAGCCCACAGGACTTGGGTTCCAACCCTGCTTCCCACACTTCCTGCCCGTGTGCCCTTGGGCACATCTCCACTTCTGGGCCTTGGCTCTCTCATCGGAAAGATGGGGTTCCTTCCAGCTCTGGATCTAGGAGAACTTTCTGGGGAGCACCAACTAAAGATGTCGGCTTCTCCCTCTTCTTGTCATGAGGGCTGGCAGGGGGTGGGGAGGCAGGCCTGTGCTGGGGGCTGGTCCCTCAGGAGGACCCTGGACCAGCACCTCTCCAAGGTCCTGAAGCTCCTCCCATGTCTCCTCTGTGAAGCAGGGTGCACTAGTCCACTAGCTCTTTGAGACCCCAGCCAGTCAGTCACTGAAGCCTCAAAGTGGCCTGCGTCTGGCTGGCACAGGGGCCGGTGGGGGAAGAGGGTAAGCTCCAGGATGGCACTTTCCAGACAAGGGAGGACTTCCCTGTGGGCCAGGGAGGCTTTGGAGGACACCCAGTCTAGCCCATAATATTTGTGCGTCTCTCTCAATAACCTGTCAGTCAGCCTGTACTCAGAGATCTCCAAGAAAGGGGAGTTCCCCCTCTCCAGGGGCTGCCTAGGCCACCATTAGGAAGTCTTTCTTGACCTCAAGCCTAAATCAGTCTCTCTATCCCTTCCCCCATGGCTCCACTTCCTGCCCCTGGGGCCCAGCAGAGCTTGGGTGCCTGGCTAGGTAGCACTGGCCAGGACCAAGAGAAGGATCCTGAGCCAGGAAGGGGGCAGGCCCATGTTGGGGGGGGGGGGACAAGGCAGGAGGGAAGTATGGCCAGAGCTGGGTTGGGATGAGAGCAGAGAATTACAGATTAGCAGAATGAGGGCTGGGTTGAGGCAGAGGACAACATCAGGGGCACCCAAAGGAGGATGTTCCTTGCTTTGCCCCCTCTCCCAGCCCGAGGCCCATCTGGCCCATCTGGCTAGACCTTGTATTGCTGGAGCAGGGACTTTTTCCAGGACACTGCCCCACGGCTTGCCAGGGGTGCTGAACACACAAGTGTTTTACTCATTGGGCCCAGTGGACACAAGCCCAGCTTTTCTAGGAGTAGCTGGGGCACGAAGGGAAGGAAAGGGCAGAGCTGATCAGATCAGGAAGCCACTCTGTGGACTTCTGAGCGCTTCCCAGGATCTGACCTTCCTCAAATCACATTGCTCAGAGCTTAGGGCTGATCAGGAAGTCCCTCATGGGGCGGGGTGGGGAAGGGGTCAGGGTGCTGCCTGAGAAGGAAATAGACCCAGATCCAAGCCCTAGCCCCCCACCTCCCTACCCACCAGCTGTGTGAGCTTGGGCATAGACATATCCCCTCTAGAAGACTCACTTTTCTTTTCTTTTTCCTTTTTTTACGTTTTTTTTTTTCATTTTGAGTTTCAAATCCTCGAACTCCCTTTCTCCAGCCCCTTCCTACTCACTGAGAAGGCAAGCAATATGATATCTATTATATGTGTGAAGTCATACAAAACATTTCTATATTAGCCATGTTGCAAAAAAAAAAAAGAAAAAGAAAAAGAAAGTGGAAAAAAATTACTTCTATCTGTACTCAGAGTGCACCAACATGCTCTCTCTCTGGAGGTGAAGAGCATTTTTCATCATGGGTCCTTTGGAATTCTCTTGGATCATTGTATTGCTGAGAAGAGCTAAATCTTCCACAGTTGAACACTGTTACAGCATTGCTGTTACTGTGTATACTGTCCTTCTGGTTCTGCTCACTTCACTTTGCATCAGCTCATGTAAGTCTTTCCAGGCTTTTCTGAAAGCATCCTGCTTGTCATCTCTTATAGCACAATATTATTCCATCACAGTCATTTACCACAACTCGTTCAGCCATTCCCCAACTGATGAGCATCCCCTCAATTTCCAATTCTTGCCCACCACATAAAAAGCTGCTATCTTTGTACACATAGGCCCTTTTTCTTTGATCTCTTTGGGATACAGATCTTGTAGGGACTCACTTTTTTTCCATTGGTCGAATGGGAATAACAGTACTTTTGTGATCTCCTAGGAGAGGGGACACAGCTCACCTCCCTCCAGGATCCCCTCCTTCCAGGCATCACAACGGCTTCCCTCCTTGTGCCCAGGCCAGGCCTGTCTGGCTATTCTAACTGAAAAAGAGTCATTTCCCATTGGCTTTGCTTCCATTCCTAGCACTGAGAAGGCTGAAAGAATCACTGACTTGGAGGGAGGGAGAAGAGGCAGGCACGGGCATTTGGTGCCCTGGGAGGGGCTAAAAGGGGCTCCCCTTCAGAGGACTGTCCAGAGGTAGACAGACCTTGGGGTCAGTGCACAAAGCTTCCTGTGTTCTCGGCCCATCTGGCTGCTCCTCTGCCCACAGGGCCAGGTCCCTGCTGCTCTGTGGGCAGGCCTCCTGTCCTTGCTAAACTGGGCTCTGGTCTGGTGTTTCCTATTTTAATTTCACTGCAGGCTGTCTATGCTTGGAAAATACTGATAGCTCTCAGAGCGAACCTGACCAGCCCAGCCAAGGCCATGGGGCCACTCCCTCCTGTGTGGGCAGCCGAGCTCTGTGTGGGATCGCCAGACTGCTCAGCTCAGCCTGTCCTGCTGCGGTCTTCCTCTTCTCAATGGAATGGAGAGAGGCAGGAACACACACCTCCAAATTACATGGGTTGGGGTGAGTGGGGAAACTGCATTGAGGGGCCTGGCCTGGCTCCAGGGTTTTTATTTCCCTGATTCCGGTTCTCGTTGTTGGGGTCTTTCCAAAATGACTCTAGAGATACATTCAATCTTATGCAAAGAGTGTGTATGTTGGGCGGGGGTCTCCTCCAGCCTGGCTTCCCTCGGGTCAGCCCCTAAGTCCTCTGAGCCCCCATTCTCCCATCGGCTGCTTTCCCTGCCCTCTGCCCCACCGCCTCAAGGGAGCTGAGTGTCTCCCAGGCCCATTCAGCCTCCCTTCAGTGCTGCTCATGCCCTCATTGACCTCTGCGAAGGCTCTGAGGGGGGGTGGGGAGTGGGAGCAGTGGTAGTCTTGGGAGGGAGGACTGTGGTCTTGTGGTTAGCAGAGGGGACAGAGAGTCGGGCCTCACAGCCTGGGCTCCGTCCCAGCTCACCACTGCCTCGTTCAGTGACCCCAGCGCGCTGTTGGCTCTGCTTCCTGGAAGGATCTCTGTGATGAACTTGGGGCCTCCTCCTTCCCCCAGCTCTGCCCCCCTCTCTTCCCCTTGCCTTCTCCGTTGGGCCCTCAGCCATGACAGTGGAATTGCCTGTGGCTGCAGATGTATGGAGAAGAATTGAAAGGGCTGTTAGGGACCCTTCGAGGGCCCAAAGGGATGTGGGGGGTTTCAGTTAGAATTCCACAGGGAGCACCCACTTACTCATCTAGTATTTCAAAGGCAATGTGTCTCCTTTCATTGCCCACAAGTCAGTGACCCGTCACCACCACCCTTCCTGGGCCTGGTCACT